ATCTACAATGAAACAAAACTACAACTCTAATATCAAGATATGAGAGGCTTGGGTCTTGTAGAGATAATACTAGGGCTAAAGATCAGAGAGTTCAAATTCTTAGTAAGTTGAGGATCCAATATGAAGCCAATTGCTACTAGACAGATCATTCTCTGAGTTTAACTTGAGTTGATCTTTACTCATATGAAATATAGTATAGAAAATTGTATTGACCTGTTAATATAAGTTCTTATACTTCTAAACAAAAAGTAATAGGCAAGATCGCTAAATTAAAAAAAATGTTTTAGCCAATCATCTTTTTAGAAATTTTGTCTTTTTTTTTAGCACTTATCAAAAATTTTCAGATTATATGACCTATTTTCTAATACCTAAATTAGTCCAAATATATATTGATCATTATTGTATTTAAAATACAAATCATGGTTTATCTCAGATTTGGTAAATTCTAATTTGATCTTTTTTCTCAGCACTTAGCCCATATAGTCACAAAAACTAAAATATCTATATTCTGTGATCTACTAGACTGATTTTAATGTTTTAATCATTATTCTGATCACAAGACACTTTACTTAGGTATTGAAAAGAGGTTTACTTAGTAAAAAAAAACTTTTTCTTTGGAAAACTCCAGATTCCAAAGACAATAGTAAATTTTTCTACTTTTTACTATGTTTTATTACTGGTTTATAGGCAGACCACTAATTAATTATTAATAACTGCTTATTATATTAAAGCAATTATATAAGATTATTTTTTTTTACAAATAATTTGATAATACAAGATAATAAAGCAAATTTTTTTTTTAAACAAATTAGCAAAACCAATAATTAGATAAGTATATACTTTATGACTAATTTTCTAAGCCATATTCACACTTCTTAATCAAATTAGAAATGCGAAATTCATTTAGTCTTTCTTTAAGCCTTGACAAGTTCATATTTTATGCTTAATCTCAACATTAAAATAAAACATATAACTCTGTAATCACCTTCAGGCTTACCAATCGAATATTGAATCTAAATAATTTAATAAATTAATTAAAATTTATTAATTTATTTAAAAAATCAAAATATATTATTGATATCTTTAAATGTCACTAATAGTTCTTTCCAATATTCTATATAAATACTAAATATATATGCAATACCTTCCAGCTTGTAGCAGAATATTCTATAGTTATTAATATGTGATGAACAACTTTTTGATATTACTGTAATTCTTTTGTAAAATAAAATAGTTTATTTTTATTATTAGTATTGTGCATTGCTGACATATTATTTTCAATGTTTAAGCTTCATTTTCTAAAGATAAATCTTATTGTAATAAATATTATTTGAATTCTAATTTATAATAAATGAATTATATATTTACACTATCAGTTTCATATCTATTACTATTAAATACTTCTAAATTCTCCTCATACAAAGTTTCCAAACTATCGATAATTCAGAAGCTATGATCTATTTAAAAGTATGTGTTTTCAAGCCATACAAGATAAAAGTTTGATTTAGGATTTTTCATTTGTGATCACGAAAGCTACAAACTTATTTATTATTACATTGTTAGTTTTATTTTCTCAGAGTACATACAAATTAACCAGGATGGCCCTCAAAAATACAGGTCATATAGTAGCACCACCTACTATAGTTGTATAGGGTATGTGATACAAATCTAATTACAAATATAGTGAAAATCATTTAATTCAATTTTTTTATAATTGTTGCATGAATATTAATAGGCATAAATAGTAAAATATATAAAATTCAAATTGTAATAACTTTTGAACTAGCAGACTCATGCAAATAAATTTATATCTATTGGGTTCGTTTTAATGTGCTCTTTAATGTAACAACTCTTGTTTTTTTTTAGCTTCATTGTTTGAAGAATAGCGATGATACCAAAATTCTCATTTTTGATATATTTATAATAAAAATATCAAAAATGTAACTTTGAATTTTTTATGTAGATTGTAACAATGGTGACAGACAGAGAATTCAAAGTTATGTTTTTGATTTTTTTATTAAAAATGCATCAAAAATAAGAATTTTGGTATCACTTAGAGTTCTTTGCTATTCTCTAAACAATAAAGCTAAAAAAAAACAAACATTACATTAAAGAGCATATTAAAATAAACCCAATATATATAATTTTATTTGTGTGAGTCTGCTGGTTCAAGAGTTATTATAATTTTGAATTTTATATATTTTACTATTTATGCGTATTGATATTTATTCAATAATATAAAAAAATTAACTAATAATTATCACTATATAACCTGCGCTATGTTTGTAAATAGACTTGCATCACACACTTCAGTAGTTGTAGCCAGTGTTGTTAACTCAATAAACTAGACAAATAAACAGCCTGTCCATTGTGTATTATTTATTTGTTTATTGTTATTGAACAAATATGCACGTAGTTGACCAATAAAAATTCTTGCCACTTTATAGATTTTTTTTTACATTACATTACATTATTAATATCTTTTGTTAAAGAGCTAATTATCATAAAACTAAAAACGAAACATTAACTTATTAAATATAATTGTTAAATCTTTACAATATCAACATTTAAATTTGTTTATTGAAGATTTTTTAAAATAAAGAGCCTAACAAATATACATTAGTACTATGATCTGAGAGAATTCTCTTCTTTATAGTGCAAGATATTTTATTAAGAGTTATAGCTAAAACTAAATAAAAATCAAATTATTGCTCATGTAATTTATTTATAATCTTTCTTATTGTATCTTAAAAATACAAATTAACTCCATTAATATCAACCTCGTTAATATCAATCTAAGCCGCAAAATGAATTTTTATAAATTTTTATATATCAAAATTCTCCATATATATCAACTTTAATATGATTTCTTATTAGTATCACTATCAATATGATTTAAAACAAATTCAAATAGGTTGATATTAACGAGGGTAACCTGTAGCTAGAACTTTCTACTTAGCCAATTGGTTCGCAAAGTTAAGAATACGATTACTATGAACTGCTGTATACAAGACCCAGGTTTCATATTTAATTTTAAAATTTATAATAGATTTTGGGTATAGTACAGAGTTTGTATTATTAAAGAAAAATTTTAGAGAGCATCTACATCGAGATATTTGAAAACTACACTTGGTTATTATAGATTTTACGGGTATAGTATATGGCAGATCTACTAATATGAAGGTCTTGTATATAGCATTGTATATAATATTATAAAATCGAATAAGCTTTAATACATAGCTGAATAGAATATAAGATTTGTTTTGCATTGTAAGAAAATATTTTATTCTTGATAAAACATAAGATTATGTAAAAGAATTTTTTTACATTTTATTTCTTAATAAAATTGAAAAAATTATTTCTAAATTATATTCAGTTTTCCATTAATATAAAAAATGCATATTTGTTAGACCATGGTTAGTAAAGTAAAAATTTTTAATATATATTATCAGAGTAAGAGCATTAATTAGATCAAAATATAATCAAAAATTCTAAAAGTAGAGAAAACTTATATTTGTATTCTTCAAATTGATTTTTGTTTTATCTGCCTCAGTTTGTTTAAATAAATATCTATGATAAATTCTATATATAAAATCGAATTTAAACAGATTAGTATAAAGAATTAATACTACCCACATTTGATCTTGCTGCATTTCTTATAATCATATTATAGCAAATATTATTTATAAAAGTTTAACAATTTTTCATTATATAAAAACATTTATATTTATACCAATACATAAAATTTTGAATTATATATGTATGTTAGAGTTGTTAATGGAGTGACATACTCTAGAGCAAGAGAATTTTGATAATATACAGATATTTGTTGTCTCACCAATACCCTGTTCTAGCTCATATCCTAGCTTTGGAGTAAGCTTAACCCAAGTTAAGAAATGATTCAACCTAACCAAACTCCTCATTAACAACTCTAATATACTATACATACATATTATTTAAAAATTTTTTATATGTTGACTACAAATTTTATTGGCCAAAGAACAAGTATGAAATGTGGTAAATATATAAAATCAAATGTTAGCATTTAAATATTACCTTATTTATAAATATTAGCAGTTTCAATTCAGCAATAAACAGGGTTTTTAATGGCCATTTTGCATTATGATCTTGGCAAGGATGTTCTCAAGTAAGTATTTTATCTAATGATTAGTTGTTTTCTATAATTATATTATTAATTTGTTCAATATTTTCAGTTGCTTCATCTTCTAACATTTCAATCTATTTCTCAATAACTTGTTGCATAATATCTTCGTCTTCAATTTCATCAGCCTCACTTTCATTATCCAAATCTTCAAGAAATGTTTCTATATTATCTTTATTTGTATTATTCGAATAAATGGCTACTAAGTTCTTGGTTGAATTTAGCTTGTTTATTTGTATTAGTATTATTATACTTTTCTTCTAGTTTTTTAAGTTTAGTTAATTGGTATATGCGATGTAATTCTTTTCATAGTTGACACATAGAAAGAACTTTATTATTATTTAATTAGTTTCTTTTTTGTGAATGAAGAAATTCTATTAAACTAAATAGTCGTTCAACAGATATAGTATTTACTGCAACTGCAAAAATATGACATGCAAATTTTGGTAACTCAAATTTAGAATTTGATGCTATAAATTTTTAATAATTAAGTACGTTGCTCTTAAAATTGGTGAACATAGCCATATCAAATAGATATTATTGTTTATGATACATATCGAGCTTATAAAAGATAGAATTGGGTAAATTTCCAAACCAGGCTGAATAATAATAATTTATCCATTCACCTAAACTAATATATAGTAGTTAATATTAGCTATATATAAAAACTTCTCATAACGATAATTAAGATAAAGTAAAAATGAGAGAAGAAGTAAAGGTTGTTTTCATGTTTTCCATTATCATTTAAGATGATTAATCATAGTTTCTTGAAAGCTTAAATTAGTAGAACTCTTAATAACTTTCATAAACCAACCAAAACAATGTAATACTTCAAAGAGTCTTGCATTATCTCATTGTAATTTATCAAGACTAAAGCAAAATAGTTGAAGAATTTCTTTTAACTGAGATAAATTAGACCAAAAATCTTCATTTTTTAATATAGTAATAATATTTTCAGGAAAAATTTTTTTTTCTGCTCTTAGTTCAACAGAAGTATTATTAATATTATATTTTTCAATGAAGGTCTACAATATATATAATATTATTTATATTAGTGTTAATATTCTAATATATATAATTTTTTTTAATCTTATACTATATATATACGTATATATAGTTACATATCCGTAATGCTATTTTTGATTTAAGAATACTATCAAAGCAATAATAATATGAATTCCATCGAGTTTCACCAGGACAAATTAATGCAGTGCATTTTCTAATATAGACCAATACTTGTTTATGTTGAAAATGCCCAAGCCAAAATATTGATGAATTAAAAAAATAAAGAATCGAACATATATTTTTTGATGCTTTAATATAATCAAGATTACTTTTAAAAATATCTGCTACACATAAATTCGTTTGATAAGCAAAGCATAGTAAATATAATAAATTTCACTTTTGTAATTGAAGTTTTCATCTTAAACATATTTATTATATTTAATATGTAAATAAATAATATTAATATATATGCATAAAATAATTATATATAATCTAACCTTGTAGCCGCATTTTTTGCTGCTAAATCAGTAACAAAGACAAGTATTTTGATCTTTTGATCTTTTGCTTTTTTGAGAAGTTCTTCGTGATGTTTAATTGCCTCTTCTGTTTGTTCTCTTGAAAGGCTAATATCTTCTGTATTCCAAACCAATACATCTGCTTTTAATGTAATAAATATAATTCCTAATAATTTTTATTTAATTATATTTTTTCAACTATCAAAAGCTACTATTACACCATGTGAATCTTGTTGGACCATTGCAACTTGTACTTGTGTAATTTCCTTTGTAACATCTTTTAAAATTCGATCTG